AAGGGACTGAGAAAATATTTGAAGAGATTATAGTTGAAAACTTCCCTAATATGGGAAAGGAAATAGTTAATCAAGTCCAGGAAGCACAGAGAGTCCCATACAGGATAAATCCAAGGAGAAATACGCCAAGACACATATTAATCAAACTGTCAAAAATTAAATACAAAGAAAGCATATTAAAAGCAGCAAGGGAAAAACAACAAATAACACACAAGGGAATCCCCATAAGGTTAACAGCTGATCTTTCAGCAGAAACTCTGCAAGCCAGAAGGGAGTGGCAGGACATATTGAAAGTGTTGAAGGAGAAAAACCTGCAAACAAGATTACTCTACCCAGCAAGGATCTCATTCAGATTTGATGGAGAAATTAAAACCTTTACAGACAAGCAAAAGCTGAGAGAGTTCAGCCACACCAAACCAGCTCTACAACAACTGCTAAAGGAACTTCTCTAGGCAAGAAACACAAAAGGAGGAAAAGACCTACAATAACAAACCCAAAACAATTAAGAAAATGGGAATGGGAACACACATATCGATAATTACCTTAAATGTAAATGGACTAAATGCTCCCACCAAAAGACACAGATTGGCTGAATGGATACAAAAACAAGACCCATATATTTGCTGTCTACAAGAGACCCACTTCAGACCTAGAGACACATACAGACTGAAAGTAAGGGGATGGAAAAAGGTATTTCATGCAAATGGAAACCAAAAGAAAGCTGGAGTAGCAATTCTCATATAAGTTTTATATATATATATATATATATATATATATATATATATATATATATGTAGTTTGCTTGAGTGCAGTGTTTTTTGTTTTCTGTACTGAATTCATTAGCATGGGTCGGTATAAAATTTAGCATAGGTCAATATGTAATTTGTAAACTAATAAGGTCTTAAAAGTGAGGAATTAAGTCTTTCAAATTTAATTATTTATTGTAAAGAGCAGAATAGCATACATAAACAGGTGCCTAAGGAAAACTTGTATTCTAATATGGAACTCTCATGAACACCTTTTTTTTTTTTTCTTCTAACGGTATGATAGTAGGCCATTTGATTATTTTTATGGCTTTAACTTTACAACAATGAAATATTCGTAAATTTAAAAAAAAAAAAAAAAATCTCTGTGAGATAAGCAGTGCTGGGATTATTTAATTCCCACTTTACAGATGTGGAAACAGAAGCTCAGGGTGGGGAAAGGTCTTGCCCAAGCAATTAAATCATGAATCCAGGAAATAGAGCCGCATCTTGTGATTCAAAATTGTGCCAGTGGCATATATGGTTGGGCTCCAAAGGGCCTCCTGAAATAAGTTGGCAGGTTATAGCTTATCACATGGGATAAATATTTCCTTCCACTCCTCCCACCATGCTTCCACTGTTGTGCAAATGCTACAGAGGTGATTTTGGCCACAAAAATGACAGCACACCCTTCTGCCTACTAAATTTTATGTATTCACTGAACTCATGGTGTCAGCAGATAGGGGATGTTGCAAACAGTTCTGACATGTAGCAATCAGAATCATTTGGGTTTCCAAGAAGCAGGAAGTAAAAAATGATGAAATGAATGAGTGGGGCTTCCCTGGTGGCACAGTGGTTAAGAATCCGCCTGCCAGTGCAGGGGATGTGGGTTCAAGCCCTGGTCTGGGAAGATCCCACATGCCACGGAGCAACTAAGCCCGTGCGTCACAACTAGTGAGCCTGCCCTCTTGAGCCTGCGAGCCACAACTACTGAGCCTGCGTGCCACAACTACTGAAGCCCGCACACCTAGAGCCCCTGCTCCACAACGAGAGAAGCCACTGCAATGAGAAGCCCGCGCACCACAATGAAGAGGAGCCTCTGCTGGACACAACTAGAGAAAGCCTGCATGCAGCAACGAAGACCCAACGCGGCCAAAAATAAAATAAATAAATTTATAAAAGAAAGAAAAAAGAAATCAATGAGTGAAAGGGGACTCACAGGCCAGGAGGCAAATTTCAGAAGACCACGAGGAAGGTAATTAATGAAACAGCAAGTGTAAGATGAAGGGAAAGACGAACATCGCAGGTTATTTTGCAAAAGAGGGGGTGAAGGGCTGGCAGTCTCTCCTAATTTTTGCAGTAACCACCTAATGAGTTTTGCTTGACCCTACGCTGGCCTCATCCTGAGAACCCCCTACTCTGCCACCAGACAGAACCTGTTAAAACCCATTAAAATGTTACACTTATAACATTCTTCTGTTGTTCAAATCTCTCCAACCACTCCCATCATCCACAGGATAAAATCCAAATGCCTTGTGGTGGCAACTCAAGAACCTTGTTGGACACTTAGGTTGCTTCCATAGCTTGGCTACTGTAAACAGTGCTGCAGTGTGCAAATTTATGTTTTCATATTCTTGAGATAAATGTCCAGAAGTGGAATTGCTGGGTTATATGGTAGTGCTACTCTTAGTTGTTTGAGGAACCTCCATCCTAGTTTGCATAGTGGCTGGACCAACTTATATTCCCACCAACTGCAGGAGAGTCCCCTTTCTCCACTTCACTGCCAACACTTGTTGTTTCTTGTCTTTTATTTTGCGTTACGCAGGCCTCTCACTGTTGTGGCCCCTCCCGTTGCAGAGCACAGGCTCCGGACGCGCAGGCTCAGCGGCCATGGCTCACGGGCCCAGCCGCTCCGCGGCATGTGGGATCTTCCAGGACAGGGACACGAACCCGTGTCCCCTTCATCGGCAGGCGGACTCCCAACCACTGCGCCACCAGGGAAGCCCTTTCCTTTTTATTGATTGTGTTTAAATGCCTCCTCTTACCACCTGCGGTGTGTGGAGACACTGAGTCATAAATGTTCAGGACATTATTTCCTGGATTCTAATTGGGGCTGGGGGTGTCTGTCCAGCTGTGTGAGCTCAGGGCCCTGAGCAGGCCCTCCAGCCTCAGGTCTCCCCACCCCTGTAGGATGTCAAAGACCCTGGGTTGAAATCCCTCGCACTCTCCTCCTCCTACCCTGGAGCAGAAATTATTTCTAAAAATTCCCAAAGTGAGTGCATTGTTGACACAGAAAAAACAAATCCCAAAGGAACCAAAAAGAGGAGTAAGGAGAGCTCATTCCCTCCTTACAGACACAGTGTATTTATAAAATTCAGTCAGGACTTCCAGGCAGGGCAGGGAATAGGGCGAGGAAAGTAAGGCATTCCACTTGAGCAGAAATTTGCCAAAAATCTGTGATCAAGACAAATTATATTCTAACCTACTATTTAAAAAAATCAATCTTAATGCAAAAACATCTAGGAAGAACAAAATATCAAAATTTTAAAGAAAGATAGTATCAGTAGGTCAGTTTTATTTAGTCATCATGGTTCATCTAGTTAATGGCACTCATGCTGCAGTGTTCACGGGTAAAGTATTCTCATTCTGCACGTACATTGAATTGAGTCAGAAAGTGAAATGGGTTGATGGATGGATAGAGAGATGGGAAAATGGGTGATGAAACAGAGAAAGCAAAATGCGAATTATTCAGTCCAGAAGGTGGTAGATAGGTGTTTACTATAAGATTTTTTCCATCTTTCTGTTCAAATTTTCTGTATTTGAATTTTTTAAATAAAATTTTAGGAAGGAATAACTAACAATATTTTTAAGAGTTTCAATATCTTTCAAAAATTTCCTCTCTTCTCACTTCCCTCCCCCATGCAGACCTTCACCATTTCTGACCTAGACAATGACCACAGCCTCCTGTCTGATCACCTATCACAGGGCAGCCTTTGCACACCTAATCAGGGCGTCCCCGATTGACCCCTCCCACAGTCCCACACGGCCTGTGCCTCATCTAGGTGATAGGTGACACCCCAGCTGTGTCCCTGACCCCCCGCCTCAGACCTTATGCTGCATTGGACTGGAGTTTTTGCAGGTCCCTGCACAGCCCATGCGACCTCACACCTCCCCACCTTTGCTCAGGCTGCTCCACCTGCTTATTCCCTCCTGAATGTCTCTTCAACATTCCTCTCAGAAGCTTAAACATGGTGGGTTTAACACAAGCATTTACTTCTGAAGCTGCCTGAAGCCCCCATAAAATGCACTAAAGAGCTTTCTTTTTTTAATAATTTTTAAAATATTTATTTATTTTTATTGGGTTGCACCAGGTCTTAGTTGCAGCTCGCAGGCTCCTTAGTTGTGGTTCGCTGGCTCCTTAGTTGTGGCACACAAACTCTTAGTTGCAGCATGCATGTGGGATCTAGTTCCCTGACCAGTGATCGAACCCAGGCCCCCTCCATTGGGAGCACGGAGTCTTCACCACTGGGCCACCAGGGAAGTCCCTAAAGAGCTTTCTTAAAAGGCATAAATCCACAGGGACAAAGACAACCAGATAGGAGACCACAGCCACCAACTGTTTGAACCTACAAGTAGATGTAGCCAAGCGTCATCAAGAGCTCTTCGTGCAAGACACCTTCCCAAGTTCTCCCCTTAGTCCTCAGAATAACAGTACATAGAAGGTTCTCTCATTATCACCCCCTTTTTACAGGCACAGGGGAGTTAGGTCACTTGGACGAGGTCACATAGCCACAGAGCCAAGCTTTAAACCCAGGTGGTCTGGCCCCAGAGTCTATGCCCATGACCACTGTGTATCTGCCATGAAAGCACTCACTTGGCAGAGCAGAGGAAACTGAAGCTGATCCCACAGCACTCGGGAGACAGGAGTAAACAGAACCATGCCGCTGGAGGCCAGAAAGACTCAGGAACTGCATGCACCAGGTACCTCTGTAACTGGAAGTGTTAAGTGAGGGTGAAAACAGAGGACTGTTTAAAGTCTATGTAATAAAGTATTAGACTTCCCTCTTGTACTTGGTTGAATAATGTTCCCCCAAAATTCATGTCCACCAGCAATTTCAGAATATGACCCTATTTGGAAATAGGACTTTCAGATGTAATTAGGTAAGTAAGATGAGGTTATACTGGAGTAGAGTGGGCCCTAATTCAATGATTGAACAGACACACAGACACACACAGAGAGAAGGAAGCAATATGAAGATGGAGGCAGAGACTGAAGTGATGCTGCCACGAGCCAAGGACACCAAGGATTTCCAGCAATCACCAGAAGCTAGGAAGAGGCATCGAGCAGATCCTCCCTCAGAGCCTCCAGGAAGAACCAACCCTGCTGACACCCTGACCCCGAGCTTCTGGCCTGCAGAACGGTGAGACAATACATTTCTATTGTTTTAAGCCACCCAGGTTGTGTTACTTTATTATGGCCACCTCCCCTAGCCTGTAGAAGACTGGGGGATATTCTCTGCACATGTTGAACTGGACGTACTCTGGACTTGGAGACACCTGGCAGAGAGGATGTCAGGATGCATTACTGAAAGCAGAAGGAGTCATGAGATTTCCACCACCCTTCATCTCCTGGGCAGAAGACTAGGGAATTCCTTCTTGGGAAGCAGAACAGCCCAAAGGATCTACAGACCCTGATATTCAGGGATTCTCCAGCCAGACAGCTCTACACCGAAGCCCACCATTGACAACTCCCACACATCCTCAAACACAAGCAGACAGGCAAGGACTAGCCAGCATTAAAGGGAAAGATCCAAACGAACAGAAAAAGGAGCTCAGAGGAACAGAAGCAGTGTGGGAGGAGGAAGGGAGCTTTGGAAAACAGTCACAGTGGCCTGAGTCCTGTGCTGATGTGAAATCAGAACAGAGAGCAAAAAGGCGCTCATAGAAATAAAAATAACACAAGACGTAGCATCCCATTGAAAGGTATGAAAGTGAAGTTAAATGATTCAGTCCAAAAGAAAAATAGAGACAAAGATGGAAAGTGGGAGAGAAAAAAATAAGAAAAATAAAGAACCGTTGCAGGAGTTTCATCATCTGACCAACAGGGGTTTCAGAACAGATAATTTTTAAAACTTAAAGAAATAATTCAAGAAAACTTCCCAGAACCAAAGGGCAAGAGTCTCCATACTGAAAGGTCATTGAAGTGCAATGACCAATCCAACATGGTAGCCCCTAGTCACATATGGTTAATTAAACTTAAATATAAATTACTTAAAATTAGATAAAACCAGACAAGCAGTTCCTTGGTCACATCAGCCAGATTTCAAGTGCTCAGTAGCCTCAAGCAGCTGGAGGCCACAGTATTGAACAACACAGGTAGAGAGCGTTTTTATCAGCGCAGAAAGGTGGATGGACAGCTCTGGCCTAGAACAATGGATGAGAGCGGATCCACCAGGACACAGAGTCATGACATTTCAGAAGACCAGGGACAAAAAGAAAATCCCAAAAGCTTCCAAAAGGGAGTGGGGACAAGAAACAGGTCACACACAAAGGAAGAGAAATCAGAAGGGCATTAAACTTCTCAACAGCAATACCAGAAGCAAGACTCTGCGTCTTCAAATTCAGACAGAAAATTCTGCCCCACCTAGAATTCTACGCCCAAACAAGCATGAATGCAAAACAGAACGTTATTCAGACACGCAAGTTCTTAAAAAAAAAAATTTACTCCTAGGCATCATTCCTCAGAATGTGACGAGATGATGCCCTCTACCAAAACAAGGGACAACACCAAGAAAGAGACAGATCCAGGTAACTCAGTGCAGCAGAGAGGCAAGGGGAATGCCCAGCATGACGGCCATGTAGAAGCAGGAGCAAGCAGCCTAGGCCTAAGCAAGGAGAGAGCCTGGGGAGGGCTTGAACGTCCTGAGAGGGGAGTTACACTTCTGGCGGAAAACAGGTGATAGACTGGGACACAGAAAACTCATCATTACTAGAGGAATTATTGGTTCCAAGGAAAATGAAAAGATGTCAAGAACAGAAACAGAAGCATAGATGTGTGCATGGCTTCAGTGTGAATAATGAGAACTTAGGTCATAATGAGGCAAACAGCAAATAAGAATTCCATTCCTTTCCCTGTTTTGGGAAGGCGGGAAGTGGGTGTGAGGCAAGAAGGATACCGGAAACCTGAACTCTCATCTCCCAGAGTAAGCAAGAAACAGTAGGATAAGCATGTCATTTAATGACATGGCAACAAACGCCAGAAGAAACTTCTAAGTGGGGTGAAAATGGACACTGGAGGGAAAAACCAGAGTGGGGATCAGGTAGAGCAAGGCAGCTCTAATTTTGTTGTAAACTGGGTAGGACTGTTCCGCTTTTTAAAGCATGTATGTCTATGAATTTGGTTTTTCGCAATAAATTTTAAAAGCGCCAGCTCAGCGGTCACTTCCTCCCAAACCCCTTTGGGACGAAGTGCTCTGTCTCTTGCTCCCAAAGCCCCAGGACCAACCTCTCACCATATTGAATTGGTCTGTTCATGGGTCTGACATTTCCCCACCAAACTGGAAGCATTTCATGCCTGACCCAGAGAGGTACACAGGAAATCTCTGTAAATCCAAACAGAAGCCCGGACAAGAACCCCCTGCTGACCTCCCAGGCATGTTTGAAGTTCAGATGAAACTCCTGATAGCGGGTGCTTGAAAATCCCTAAATGGCATAAGGATGAGCGGTGCCCCTGGGCGTCCACAGGGTGTTTCACAAACAACCAGGAGATGTTTTCGCAAAGGGCCTGCAATGTGCTTAGCAGCGGGCTGGGCCCTAAAAGGACACCCATGGGGCCAACATTAGCCTCAAAGCCCCCGTGCCCTTTGGGTGGTTCATCCCAGCAGGGGGACTGATGAGGTTGTTTGGAACGAGCACAGCTTAATGATTAAGGTCACAGGTCTGGTTCTATCTGGTCTAAGAGTCACCCCTGCTGACCTGGGCCCTTCTCACTGGCCCAGGTCCCAACCCCCCACTCCACCCAGCCTTGATGACAGTGCACATGCACTGCTGCAGGTTCCTTTCACCCTCCTGTGACAGCTATGTGCAGGCCCACGGGCTCTCTCCTGAGATCCTGTATAGGCTGAATTGTGTCCCCTCCAAATTCATAGGTTGAGGTCCTAACCCCCAGTACCTCAGAATGTGACCGTGGTTGGAGATGGGGCCTTTAAAAAGGCAATTAAGGCTTAAACAGGTCATATGGGTGAGTACTACCCAATACGACTAGTGTCTCTTTTTTTTTTAATTAATTTTTATTGGAGTATAGTTGCTTTTACAATGTTGTGTTAGTTTCCACTGTAAAGTGAATCAGCTACACGTATAGATATATCCCCTCTTTTTTTGCCTTCCTTTCCATTTAGGTCACCACAGAGCACTGATCAGAGTTCACAGTAGGCTCTCACCAGTTATCTATTTTAGATACAGTTTCAAGAGTGTATATATGTCAATTCCCATCTCACAATTGACTGGTATCTTTATAAGATGAGGAAATTATGACAGACAAGCACAAAGGGGAGACCATGTGAAGACACAAGGAGAAGACTGAAGGAACCAACCCTACTGACACCTTGATCTTGGACTTCCAGCCTCCAGAACTGTGAAAGAACACATTTCAGTTGTTTAAGCTGCCCAGTCTGTTACACATTGTTACGGCAGCCCTGGGAAACTAATACAGTCCCTTCTCCTTCCCTCATGGAGGACTTCTGGGACCCTGTCACCACACTTGGAGCAGAGGTTCCTGGGGGCAAGCAGGGCAGGGAGACCCGTGGGCTCTCTGCAGACTAGGCTCTGCGTGCAGGGCCACACTCCAGACGTCTCGGTGCAGCCGGGGCTCATCCTGCCCAGCAGCCTCCTCCCCCACCGAGACATCTAAGTGAGGAACCTCAGTGTCCCACCTCCCCTGCAGCCTGGAGGACCCTCCCTCCAGGCTGGAAGCCACAGAACAGAACTCAAGTGAACCCCACCCCGACCATGGAGGCCTGCAAGGCCCACTTTCTTATTCCCAAAAGTCCTAACCCCTCCCTACACACCAGACATCATCTTGGAGGATTTGGGAAATGATGAGTCAGTTGCCAAGACTAAACTCAAGGAGCTCAGGTTACCCAACTGAGACTGAGAAGCCACTGACTAAGCACTTTAAGGCATGAAGTGGGCAATCTAGTTCCCCTGTCTGGCCTCTCGTTCTGCTTTTCTGGGCTTTAACCTCTCCTAATGGAGCCCCAAAGAGTCAGACCTGGGTCCCCAAAGCACAGCAGGTACGTATGGCACAGGCCGGAAGGGAAGCCACTGTGAGTGGCGACAGGCTGCTCAGGCCAGGACCCTGGGTTCCTCTCTCACTCACCCCTACCTCCAGTCCATCCTCAAGGCCTGTCTATTCCTCCCACAATATGCATTTCTGCTGTGTCTGCTCTGAACCACCTCCACTTCCTGAATCTTTCACCTGAATACCTGGGCAGATCCCAGCCAGCCCCCCACTTCCACTCTGCCCCCTCCTGGCCAGTCTCCCCACTGCCCCTGCAGGGGAAGCAACCTGTGTTGCTCTCCTGCTAAAGACCCACCGGTGGGTTCCAGATGCACTTATTAAAAGTCAGCCTCCTGCCACGGGCCCCTGAGGCCCCTGCCTACCCCTCCAGCCTCATCTCCTTTTACTACCTGCCTCACTCGTGGCCCTCCAGACACATGGTCTTCTGTTATTGTCAGACAAAGCCAAGACCTTTCCTGCCTCAGGGCCTTTGCACTTGCTGTTTCCACCACCTGGAATGCTCCTCCCCTAATTCTTCATGTCTCAGCTTAAAATACTGCCTCCTCAGAGAGGCCTCCCCTGACCCTCTGGACTAATTGCATCCCCCGTTACTTGCCATCTCAGCACCATGTTCATTTCCGTCTTGGCGCTTAGGTGATATGTAATTGCTGTATTTGTCTCCTCATTGTCTCTCTCCCCACTGGGATGTGAGCCCCTCGAGGGCAGGGACCCCGTCTGTCTAGTTTGCCCTCACATCTTCAACACTGAAAAAGTACCTGGCACACAATAAGAGTTCAACAAACACTGATTGAAGAAACTAAAACTCTGGAATGCTATGGAACATATGCAAGGTATGTCCACATGGCTCCAGTCTCCTTTGACAGAACCGATGGCTTCTGACAGTGACTGACGCCTGGCATGGCCAGGGCCCCTGCGAGGGCGTTTCCTCTCTTTACTCTGAATGAGTGAGCCGCCAGCTGTCCCCAAGGTCTCATGTCTCTGCAGGAAATGGAACTGGTTTTCTGCTGATTCAGCACCCGTCATTCCCTTAGGAGGGAAGCTTAACAGACTAGTCACTGGCAAAGGGGATGACGGCAACATGCGGCTTTGACCAGTGATCCATCCCCTATTGACCTTGCCACGCAAATGAAATTTCTGTTGTTTTAAGCCACCCAGCTTATGGTACTTTGCTAGGGCAGCCCTAAGGCATTAATACAAGTGTCATTCAAACCTGCCTCTAATAAGATTGGCTTCCACTGGGCATCTTATGAACTTCCTGCTGGAGTGAAGTCATCAAGCGTCACAGTTCTGAAGGGAGAGACATGCTTGTCATCTCAGGAAGTGCCAAATCATTATCAAAGAGCCCCGAATAACAGGAGAAATCACAGGTGAGGTCAGCATCCTGATTAACAAGTCATATTAGCAAAACCAGGGAAGAGGAAGGAAGGCAGGGGAAGAGGAAACCCTGGGAGAGCCTGAGGGTGTGGGACTTTCGAGAAGAGTCATTCATTCAACAAGGATTTCTCAGCACCTGCTCTTGCCTAATAGCCTTCAGAACTTTCAGGTAGAAAAATCATGGGAAAAAGTCTTTCTTTACAAGAACTCAAAATCTAGTTTAAAAAATATGAATACTTTAACTTGATTAATGGTCGTTTAAAGCTAGAAGAGATATTAGAAATTAGCCTATGGTGGTCCAGATTCCTTCATTCAGCAAAAAGCATTTATTATTCATGACTATTCTTTGGCATCCTCTGTTCCTGGCATTTGAGATACAACATGATCAACAAAATCTCCACCCTCAAAGAATTTATATTCTAGAGGAGAAGGTAGACGATACACAAACAAGAAAACAGATGGCAAAGAGCAATGATGACACAAACCAAGGCAAAATGGTAAGAAGTGATGAGGGTAGTTCAGGATGGTCGGTTGGCAAAAGCCTCTAAGGAAGTCGTGTTTGTGCTGGGTCTTGAATGACAAGAAAGAGCTATGAAAGTGTGCAGTAAAGGATTAACTCAGCAGACCTGAGTTGTCCAAACCCTGCACATTCCAAAGAAGGGTCTGATCCTGTCCAGCTCCAGGGAGATAACCTTTAAATAAGTAAATGAGATTTAGGCCAAGAACAACCAAGGGGTCTGCCCAAGGTCACACATTGATGTGGAGGAAGAACTGAACCCAGAGCTTAGGTCTGCTGACCCTGACGCAGGGGGTTTTCCCTGAAACAGTAGAAATGGTAGAAATGGGACAGGCTTAGGAGTCACACAGACATAGTTCCAAACACTGGTTCTACCCTCATTAGCTATGTGACCCTGGGGAATCTTTTAACCTCTCTGAACCTCAGCATCCTCATCTCTAAAAAGGATTCGATGTATATTCCATGGCTTGTGTGAAAAGTGTATAAGAAAATGGAGGTAAAACCCCAGGTACGGGCTTCCCTGTGGTGGCGCAGTGGTTGAGAGTCCGCCTGCCGATGCAGGGGACACGGGTTCGTGCCCTGGTCCGGGAAGATCCCACATGCCGCGGAGCGGCTAGGCCCATGAGCCATGGCCGCTGAGCCTGTGCATCCGGAGCCTGTGCTCTGCGACAGGAGAGGCCACAACAGTGAGAGGCCCGGTTACCGCAAAAAAAAAAAACAAAAAAAAAACCCAGGTACATAATAGGGCTCTTAGTTTTAATTTCCCCCAAACAGATAAATACTTGGATATAAATAGTTAATTTAGAGGGTGATCCCAAGAAGTATTTTGAGAGGATAAAGAATTGACTCAAGGAAGGTAGGAATGCAAATACAGTGTAGTCATACCTTGGAGATATTGCAGGTTCGGTGCCTGACCACTGCTGTGAAGTGAATATCGCAGTAAAGCAAGTCACACAAATTTTTTGTTTTCCCAGTGCATATAAGTTATGTTTACAATCTGTTGTAGTCTACTAAGTGTGCAATAGATTATGTCTTTAAAACAAAAAACAACAACGTACATACCTTACTTTCAAAATACTTTACTGCTGAAAATTGCTAAACACCATCTGAGCCTTCTGCAGGTCATAATCTTTTGCCGGTGGAGGGTTTGAAATGTTTTGAGAATTACCAAAACATGACAGAGACACGAAGTTGAGCACATGCTGTTGGAAAAAAATGGTGCTCATAGACTTGCTCCATGAAGGGAAGTAAGTTTGCTTTTATTTCTCCACCATCAAGCACCATGCCTGGCAAGAGAGCTTAGGAAAACATGCTTATCTAACTGAATGACAGTGAGGGCCTTTTGAGGCCCAGCCTTTCCCTCCTGCCCTGCCAACTGCTGACGCTGGCCCTACCTCCTGTTCCAGAGCCTTCTACAAGCCACTCTCAAGTGCCTACAGCTCTCCCCATGGAGCCCGGCACAGCCCTGGAAGGCAAAGTCTCTGCAGGGAGACAACACACAGAATTGCTGGGTTGGAACAAAGGACATGTCTAAGAGATGAAAGATGGAGCAGAAAGGAACAGGGCAGCAGCTTAAGTGAGCACTGCAAGATCAGCCAAAGGGTCAAGTCTGACCCTCTGGATCAGCTCTTTTCAAGCAAGGACCACCCCTAAAGGTGGGAAACAGATGTCAGAAGATGATGATGCCAAGTGGACAAGGCCCAGGCCTCCCATCAGCTTCACCTAGAACAGCTTTGTAAACTGAGGCTAAGCATTCCTTCTAAGAATGTAGTCAAGGGCCACAGAGGGTCTCTGAGGCACAGAGTGACCTATGGAAGGGAGCAATGGAGAAGGCAGGGAGTGGAAAGCAGGAACCAGCTGGATCTGACCAGACATGAGATTACAGAAGAAATGAAGGAATAACCAGAACAGTGTTGTTGGGAGGACGTCATCGTGAGAGTCCAGACCCCAAGGTCCCACTCCAATCTGTCGTTCACTCACTTGATGGACAAGACCCTTGCACTCTCAGCTCCCTATCTGTCACGTATGGAGGTTGTACAGCATGTTCTCAGTGCCAGGTACTAGGAGTCCATGAGCTAAGTTCAAAACTTCCAAGGTTACAGACCTAGAAGACAGAGATATAAGGCAAGGGTGGTGACTGAGATCATTAACCAGGTGGAATATGTTGCAACACTAATCAAGTCACAGCAGTGCCAACACTTACCTGATGTTTTCCTGCAGCACTACTTTGCTGGCATAATCCTTGTTGAATATTAAACAACGACCTCAATGTGGCACATGAACTTTATGAAGTTCAGATTATAATCAGACTAGTTTACGAAAGTTGAGAATATGCATTCAGCTCACCCCAGGAACACACTATTATGGGATAACTCCGGTGCTCACCCCAGGGACACACTATTATGGGACAACTCTGGTGCCAGCCACTAAAAGTCAAGATTTCTTTGACAGTTTCAATTCTCTAAGAATATGTACATTGAAAGGCAACCTAAAAGTTTGTTACCTGCATGCCCAGAAATTATATTCACCCCCGAAAAAGTACTTATGTATATTGCCTGAAATATTATAGGCTCATATCCATTAAATTATTAATTAAATTATTAACTTATTTAATTAATAAGTCAATGCTTATGAAGTTACTTTAGAAGTAACAGAAGCCAGAAATTTTCAAATACCTCTCAAGAAGGAAGCCCTTAGTCTCTGATAGGCTGGTAGAAATGGAGTCACCTTTTTTTTTTCTACACAGTAACTCAAAACCATACAAAAATATATAGATCTACAGTAAAGGTAAATATATGGACAAATATAAATACCTGTGTTATTGTAACTTTGATTTCTAACTCCACTTTTTGTTCTACTATAGAATTTAGAAGACAAATGCATAAAAAATAATTATACCTCTATATTAATGGGTATACAACATATAAAGATATAATTTATGACATCAATAACATAAAGTGGGAAGGTGCAGAGCTGTAAAGAGGTAGAGTTTTATGTAAGTGAATTTGAAAATAGGTTGTTATGGGACTTCCCTGGTGGCACAGTGGTTAAGAATCCACCTGCCCTCAATATCAAAAAAACAAACAACCCAATGCAAAATGGGCAGAAGACCTAAATAGACATCTCTCCAAAGAAGATATACAGATTGCCAACAAACACCTGAAAGGATGTTCAACATCACTAATAATTAGAGAAATGCAAGTCAAAACTACAATGAGGTATCACCTCACACCAGTCAGAATGGCCATCATCAGAAAATCTACAAAAATAAATGCTGGAGAGGGTGTGGAGAAAAGGGAACACTCTTGCACTGTTAGTGTGAATGTAAATTGATACAACCAGTATGGAGAACAGTATGGAGGTTCCTTAAAAAACTAAAAATAGAACTACCATATGACTCAGTAATCCCACTACTGGGCATATACACTGAGAAAACCATAATTCAAAAAGAGTCATGTACCATAATGTTCATTGCGGCACTATTTACAATAACCAGGACATGGAATCAACCTAAGTGTCCATCGACAGATGAATGGATAAAGAAGATGTGGCACATATATACAACGGAGTATTACTCAGCCATAAAAAGAAATGAAATTGAGTTATTTGTAGTAAGGCGGATAGACCTAGAGTCTGTCATACAGAGTGAAGTAAATCAACCTAGGGGCAGGACAGGAATAAAGACGCATATGTAGAGAATGGACTTGAGGACACGGGGAGGGGGAAGGGTAAGCTGGGATGAAGTGAGAGAGTGGCATTGACATATGTACACTACCAAATGTAAAACAGATAGCTAGTGGGAAGCAGCTGCATAGAACAGGGAGATCAGCTCGGTGCTTTGTGACCACCTAGAGGGGTGGGATAGGGAGGGTGGGAGGGAGACGCAAGAGGGAGGGGATATGGGGATATATGTATACATATAGCTGATTCATTTTGTTATACAGCAGAAACTAACACAACATTGTAAAGCAATTATACTCCAATAAAGATGTTAAAAAAAAATAAAGAATCCACCTGCAAATGCAGGGGACACGGGTTCAGGAAGATCCCACATGCCATGGAGCAACTAAGCCCATGCACCACAACTACTGAGCCTGCACTCTACAGCCCGTGAGCCACACCACTGAGCCCACATACCGCAACTACCGAAGGCCACGTGCCTAGGGTCTGTGCTCTGCAACAAGAGAAGCCACCACAATGAGAAACCCACGCACTGTAACAAAGAGTAGCCCCTGCTCGCCACAACTAGAGAAAGCACGTGCGCAGCAACGAAGACCCAACAAAGCCAAAAATAAAATAAATAAATAAATATTTTAAAAACAGGTTGTTATAATTTTAGGATGTTTTATGTAACCCCCATGGTAACCACAAAGAAAATATCTATAGAATACACACAATAGGAATAAGAAGGAAATCAAAACATGTCACTACAAAAAAAATCAACCAAACACAAAGGAAGGCAGTAAGGGAGGAAATGAGGGTCCAAAAAAGCTATAAGACATACAGAAGACAAATATCAGAATGGTAATAGCAAGTCCTTCTCTATTAGTAATTACTTTAAATATAAATATAAATGGATTAAACTACCCAATCAAAAGACAGAGATTGTCAGAATGGGTAAAACAAACAGAATCCAATGATACTGTGTCTATAAGAGATTTGTTTTAGATCTAATGACATACATGGGTTGAAAGTGAAAGGTTAGAAAAAGATATTCAGTGTAAATTATAACCAAAAGAGAGTAGGGATGGCTATTCTAATATCAGACAAAGTAGACTCTAATTCAAAAACTGCAGGCTCCCACAGATATCTCAGTGGAGGGTCACGTAGTGTTCATCAGCATGGATCCCAATGACCTGCTTTGCAGAGGACACAGGTAGCCTTTGCGACTACAGACTACTTGAAGAGGGAGACACCACTCCACACCCCTCCCAAGAAGGAGTTGCTGTTGCACCACTTCAGGATGAGGGCTGTCAGCCCTCCTTAACCTTGTGAATGTCCCAGGCCCCAGAGCCATGGCTGCTCTGCCTGCACCCACACTTCAGACCCTGACTCCATTACCACTCTGCATGCACAGAGTAGCTGAATGGATTAAAAAATAAGACCCCTCCCATGAGCTATGGCTGCTGGGCCTGCACGTCCGGAGCCTGTGCTCCGTGACAGGAGGGGCCCCGGCAGTGAGAGTCCCGTGTACCGCAAAATAAATAAATAAATAAATAAGACCCAATTCTGTGCTGCTGATATGAGACTCACTTTAGCTTTAACGACACCCATAGGCTGAAAGTAAAGGAATAGAAAAAATATATTCCATGCAAATGGAAACCAAAAAAGAGCAAAGGAGTTATACTTGCAACAGACAAAATAGACTTTAAGTCAAAAACTGTAATAAGAGACAAAAAAGGTCATTATATAATGATAAAGGGGTCATTTACTCAAGAAGATCTAACAAGTGTAAATATACATGCACCCAACCTTGGATTACCTATATATATTAAACAAATATTAACATATCTGAAAGCATATATTGATATATCCCACTTTCAACAATGGGTAGGTCATCCAAACAGAAAATCAATATGGAAGTATTGAACTTGAATTACATTTTAGACCAAATAGACCTAGCAGACATATACAGAACATTCCGTCCAACAGCAGTAGAACAGACATTCTTCTCAAGTGCACACAAAACATTCTCCAGAATAGATCATGTGTTAGGCCACAAAAAAAGTATTAACCAATATAAGAAGACTGAAGTTATATCAAGCAACTTTTGTGACCACAATGGCATGTAACTAGAAATCAATAACAGGAGGAAACTTGGAAAATTCACTAATATGTGGAAATTAAATGAAACATTCCTGAGAGTAGCATTGACATATATACACCACCGAATGTAAAATAGTTGGCTGGTGGGAAGCAGCAGCATAGCACAGGGAGATCCGCTTGGTGCTTTGCAATGACCTAGAGGGGTGGGATAGGGAGGGTGGGAGGGAGGCTCCAAAGGGAGGGGATATGGGGACATGTGTATGCATATGGATGATTCGCTTTGCTGTGCAACAGAAACTAACACAGTATTGTGAAGCAATTATATTCCAATAAAGATCTATTTTAAAAAATTGGAAGAAGTCAATGACACATTTCTGAACAATCAATGGGTCAAAGAAGAAATCATAGGGAAATCAAAAAATACCTTGAGACCAACGTAAATGGAAATACAACATACCAAAACTTAGGGGATGCAGCAAAAGCAATTCTAAGACAGAAGTTTATAGCAGTAAATGCTTACATTAAAAAGAAAAAAGAACAATCTCAAAAAAACAACCTAAATTTACACCTCAAGGAACTAGAAAAATAACAAGCTAAGCCCAAAGTTAGGAGAAGGAAGTAAAGAACAAAGACCGTAGCAGAAATAAATTAAATAGGGACTAAGAGGACAATAGAGAAAAATCAATAAAACTGATTTTTTGAAAAAATAAAATTGACAAATCTTTAGCAAGACTAAGAAAACGAAAGAAAATAAATAAATAAAATCAGAAATGAAAGAGGAGACATCACAACTGACACTGCAGAAATGCACAGGTTCATAAGAGACTACTATGAACAGCTGTACATCAAAAACTTGGCTAACCTAGAAGAAATGGATAAACTCCTGGAAACATACAACCTACCAAGACTGAATTATGAAGAAACTGAAAGTCTGAACAGACCTATTACTAGTAAAGAGATTGAATCAGTAATCAAAAATATCTCAGAAAAGAAAACTCCAGGACCAGATGGCTTCATGGTGAACTCCACCAAACATTTTTAAAACTTAATGCCAATCTTTCTCAAACTCTTCCAAAAAATCAAAGAGGAAGGAAGACTTCCAAACTCACTTTTATGATACCAGCATTACCCTGATACCAAAGCCATGCAAAGACACTACAAGAAAGAAAACTATAGACCAATACACCTAATGAATATTGATGCAAAAATTCTCAACAAAATACTAGCAAACAGAATTCAAAAGAACATTATAAGGCTCATACACCATGACCAAGTAGGATTTATTCCTGGAATGTAAGGATGGTTCAACACACAAAAGTCAATCAGTGTAATAAAACA